AGTGTTATTTTAAAAATTGAAAGTTAATAAACAAAAAAAATTTAAGAATTATGACATTTACGATTAACGAATAGATATTACAGTTTAATTTTATATTAGAAATTAATTTTGATTCAAAACATACTGAAAAAAACATCAAATAGTGTCTACAGAGAGGGACCGTCCCTTTCCGCTCAAATTCTTAAAGACAATTTGGATTTTGCTCCGGCCACAGTTGTCTTTGAAAAGTAAGACTAATACCAATCTAGAGCGAATAGGCTATTTAGTTTACCCTGAAATTACCCAAATAAGTGAACGGTCCCTTTAAGATTAAAAAAAAAATATTGAAATACTTTTTCATATTTGATTCAGCTTTCAAAAATATATAATTTGTAGTTTTCGTGCAATTTTTGTTTTTTAAATTATTTTGCTATGCAACATGGATTTTGTAATAATAATTTGTTTTTTTGCACATTTGATTTTTTTTGGAGAATAAAAGCGAAGGCCCAAGGGTGTCCATAAATGTGTCAAATGTTAAAGAATTGTATCACAAAAAGTCCATTTTAAGTAAAGGAGACGTCAGTCTGATTAGGGTCAAACCGATCTCTTAAATTGGTCATAATTACGGTGATTGGAAAAATGTCAAACCGATCTCTTAAATTGGTCATAATCACGGAGATTGAACAAATGTCAAACCGATCTCTTAAATTGGTCATAATCACGGAGATTGAACAAATGTCAAACCGATCTCTTAAATTGGTTATACTTACGGAGATTGGACAAATCCGGACCAATCACTGCAAAGTCAAGCTTACCGGACTAACCTGGATTTTATTGGACTACTTCGAAGTGCCCGTGAATAAAAAAATAAACAAAATATAAAAATAATAAAAGTTTAAGATTTTTTTAGCCTTTGATACCCCAGGAGTAGGACCCATTTGGGTTCCCTAAAAAATGTCATCCAATTTTGCCCAGCCGTTTGACCAGCTATAAAGCTTACAAATATACAAATAAATATATATACATGAGCGAAGAGCTTTATTATACAGATGTTGGGCTAAATTGAAATTTAATGTTCCAAAATCTGAAATTTTTACAAAATGTTTTATTTTCTATTTTCTTAGATTTTGACGGTTTGAATGTCTAAAGAGACTCAATTTCTTATTTAAAATTAAATTAAGTAGGTCCTGCAGTCGTATTCCGTGTTTTACTAAAATTACAAAGAATTAAAATATTGTGCAGTATTCAAGTGTAAAGGAATTGAGTCTTTGCAACATACTCTGATTTTCTAGTCCTTGTATTGTCCCAACCAAATGTCGTAGACCTTAGATATTTCAAACTATGAATTATGTTAGTTTAAATTATCTAAGTTTGAAATATCAAATGTGTACAACATCAGGTCGCTAAGATATTGGAATTCGAAAATTTAAGTTTGTGGCAAAAACTCAATTCCTTTGAACAGGTAAATATTATTCGACTTTGAATTGATTTTTAATATAAACTCTATGCATTCCCAGACACAAAATGTAATAATAGGTAGAATTCTTTTTTATAAATATTTTAGTTCTTTTACCCACCATGATAGAGTCATAGCTCAAAGAATAAAGTCTTTTGTGGGAAAATGATTCTGAAATTGTAATAAAGCAGTTTATACTATTTTTGTCAAATATTCAAAAAGGGGGGTTTGAGTAAAAAAAAATAGTAGAGGGAGGCAAATAAGTTAATATTTTTACATTCTACGTAATATAATATTACATAATGTATATTTAGCCAGGAAAATGTTTGTATAAAATATATTAGGTTTCCTAGATAAAACAGAAATCGGAGAAGATCCCTTTGAATAGTATGTTAATAGGCTTAATGCCCGGGGGGGGGGGGGGGNNNNTCTCCTGCCATAGACAATTAATCTTCACAAAAAATATCTTATTGAGTTAAAAATTAAAAGAGACATTTTTTTCTATTGTTGTACAGACAACTGAGGGAATTAATGATTCGTTGCCACAAACTCTGATTTCTAATCACTAAAACTTTGCAACCCAATTTCAAACTTTAAATTCTGTTAGGCTAAATACTCTGAGTTTGCAATATCAAAGATTTAAACAGTCGGGTTGTAGAGATTTAGTGATTAGAAAAGTTTAGTTTGTGGCAAAGGGTCCGTTCCTAAATGACTGCAGTGCAAGATATGTTTGATAATGTTCATTGTTTATAAAAAAGTTTCCCATAAATGTTTCATGCCCTTTTAAAGATAAAAGATAAAATAAAAGATAAAATAAACAAATCTTATTTTAAATTCTATTATTTCTCAATAATAAATGTTCTTTTTTTAACAATTCAACAGTTTCTCCATTGACTATGGTATGAGTATAAAAACTAAAGACAAGTTGGATGAAGTTTTGATAAAGTATTTTTTGGAACAAAGGAACAAATTATTGGCTTTAATGGAGAAAAAGGAGAGGTTGAACTTTTCTGTTTAAAGGAAGTGTTCGCAAAAAATGAAAAGGGGTACCGACTACATCCAAATTTAATCTGGAATCGATCGCCACCAATTTTAAATCTATCCATATCGCCTGTAATTCAGCGATACCTTGCCCCTTTATTATTTCGCGAACACTCCCTTTAAAGTCGAAGAAACATTAAAGGCATAATTTGGATTATTTTTCTTCCAATAATGAAAATACTTTATCATTAAAACTCATAACTGCTCTATCCTTCATTCATTCAGAACCAAATGTGTATTTTATATTTTCTATGTTTTGAAATTTCGACGCAGTTTTGCGCCAAATGCAAGCATTACACAATAGTAAAATTACCTCTTTTAGAATTTATAACAATACACTAAAGCACATTTTGCAGTTTGAAGGGATTTTAGCTGTTTATTTACCTAGTTGTAATATATTTTCTTGAATCATTGTGAAATCAAGAAAATGAACTATCGTTTTCCTTGAATAAAAATAAATAAATTTGAATTGAGTTTTTGCCACAAACTCTAATTTTCTATTCCCTTTTATATATGTAACCCAATTTTGTGGACCTTAAATAGTTTAAACAATAATGAAATAATCTAAATTTTAAATAGTGTGGAGAAATTTCAAGTGACCCTCTATTAATTGAGTGGCCGAATATCTAATTCACAACGGAACCATTTATAGAATTCTATACTTCCTTGTTGTTACTCAGATAGAGGGTTAGAGGATGTCGTTGTGAATCAGATACGACACTCTTTAGATTCAAGATACGTCAATAGTACTTTAAAGTCTTTAATAGTTAACCGAGGAAGAAATGCGATGTCAAGGGTGTAATGCAAGGAAAGTTAATTGCGGTCGTGTATACTCTGCGTACACATTGAAACCAGTTCTCTTTGGGTATATTCTGTAAACTAACCTGTT